ATGTTGGTGGGATTTGTAGTCCTCTATAGCTGATGATATTCGGCATTGCTGATTAATGTATTGCTGGGCTTTGTAGTCCTCTATAGCTGATGGTATTATCCTGCATTGCTGTATAATATGTTGGTGGGATTTGTAGTCCTCTATAGCTGATGATATTCGGCATTGCTGATTAATGTATTGCTGGGCTTTGTAGTCCTCTATAGCTGATGGTATTATTCTGCATTGCTGTATAATGTATTGCTGGGATTTGTAGTCCTCTATAGCTGATGGTATTATCCTGCATTGCTGTATAATATGTTGGTGGGATTTGTAGTCCCCTATAGCTGATGATATTATTCTGCATTGCTGTATAATGTATTGCTGGGATTTGTAGTCCTCTATAGCTGCTGGTATTCTGCATTGCTGTATAATGTATTGCTGGGATTTGTAGTCCTCTATAGCTGATGGTATTATTCTGCATTGCTGTATAATGTACTGCTGGGGTTTGTAGTCCTCTATAGCTGGTGGTATTATTCTGCATTGCTGTATAATGTATTGCTGGGATTTGTATTCCTCTATAGCTGCTGGTATTCTGCATTGCTGTATAATGTATAGCTGTATAGCTGGTATAATTCTGCATTGCTGTATAATGTATTGCTGGGCTTTGTAGTCTCCTTAGCCGCTGCCATTGGGCATTGCCGTATAATGTATTGCTGAGATTTGTAGTCCCTCTATAGCCGGTGGCATTCCGCATTGCTGTATAATGTACTGCTGGGGTTCGTAGTCCCTCTACAGCTTGGAGCCAGTGGCAGAACTCCCAGGGTCGCAGCATTTGCAGCTGGAACCGGGCCCTGGCGCTCCACCACTGTCCCGAAATCATCAGTCTGTATTGTTTTAGAAAAACTGTCACATGACACTATAAAAAAAATATCGGATCTCATCCTCAGTCTGGATCAGTGGTAGGGGCATCTCTAGTTTTATTTATAAATATCATTATCATGTTGGTGAGGGGGGAAGGAGGAAGCAGGGAAGGCAATATACATGAGCAGGTTACATTTAGCCCTCGCACTCCGGGCATTCCCATGCTATGGCAGGTCATTAAACCTCTGGGCTCTCTGACTGTGTACACAACAGTCCATCAACATGATATAAGGTGCAGATAAAACTTTTGGTCATTGCAAACCTCCGCTCATTCTCAGGCTGTAAAAACTAATTTTGCACTTCGGGGGGAGGGAGAGAATGTTTAACTTTTTATGGTCTAATTAAAACAGAGATTTACAGACTGTGACTCGATGCCGCGAGGTCTATTGAAGTGACTTTTGTTGAGAATAATTATATTACTCGCGTCGCAAAATCCGATGATGTGGATATTTATTACCATAGTATAGGTGAGAGAGATAGACCTGTTTCTGGTGCATCTGCGCCACCCGCGCCAGCTCCTGCGCCCGACAAAGGGATTCTGGCGGTTTTCAATATAGAAATCTGCCGCAGATCCCCAGCAGATTGAGCTCACATCCCTCTCTCTGCCCACGCATTGAACATACTACACGGGCAGAGCTTTGCATATAGGCAAAGAAAGCTCCTTCCTCTGCATACATGGCTGGCTGTTAACCTTGGCAAGCAAGCACAGGGATGACAGTCTGCCAACAGAGGAGGAGGCAGGGCCTGGCGACAGAGGAGGAGGCAGGGCCCATCAGCGACAGTGGAGGAAGAGGAGGCGGACCGGTAAGGAGTGCGACCAGCCCACCTGAGGGTGACCCTGCAGAGCCCACCATAGAGAGTCTATAGCGGGCTCTACAGGGTCACCCTCAGGTGGGCTGTGTGGGATCTCAAGTGGGCTCTGCAAGGGGTATAACTAGAAATCACGGGGCCCCATACAAAATTTTGCTATGGGGCCCTGTGATTTCTAGTTACGCCCCTGGGACACCACCACCAAACATGGTACGTTGTCCCTCCACGGCCGATTCTAAAGTCAATAGATCAGTCAGGGGGCGCGCAAGGAAGCCGAATAAGCCGTTATACGTCGATAGAATTCACGTTGGGTGTTTGGGAAGAACCTTTATTCTGGAAAGAGGAAGTTTGAAGAGGGAAGTGTTCCATTGTAAATTGTTACAATGGTCACGGCCGCCGCTGAGAGCAAACCTGAAGGTTGCGTCATTCGGCGGATGAATTATGAGGTGCGATCACGCGGGAGGGACGCATGGCACACCAGATAACACGCGAATAAATAGCAGCAGAACGGCTGACGTCACACGTTTTCACAAACAAGCTACAGGACCGGTAATGATCGTGTTATTTTTCCGTTTATTCAGTCCTAAGGCAAATGTTTTGTGTTCCAGACTTCCCGGGCCATGGGCTGCGACGATTCCGGAGACTTCCTGAACCGTACGGGTGCACAGCGGCGACAGGGGACATAATTAAAAGGTGATTTCCAGCCAGATCTGGCCAGTGGGACCCGAAACTGACTTTTATGATTTACAAACTAGAAAGAACAAATATGGAAGCCCTCGAGCCGAGTCAGCTAAGACATTGTGGAGCTCCTCGGCTGGTCATTTAAAGTGGACCTGTCGCTTTCTTTAGGAGCCCCCCGTGAATAAATGCCGGACATGTCACAATATACAGCGATTGGTTTATATTTTCCAGAGAAGTTCCACCTTTTATCATTAAAGGAGAACTAGATCCACCAATGTAACTAGCACTGAAAAAAGTTACTTCCAAGGCATGCCAAGGGTCAAGGTTGCAAGTGTGCTTATTTCACCTCTCAACTTCCAAAACCTCAGATGGCTGGTGTCACAGCTAATCACCATGGAAACTGCAACCCAAACAGAGGCTAAGATGGCGCCTTTCTTGGCTATTAAAGATAGGAGGGTGTAGCTCCACTTGGAAAAGCCATCCTTGAGCTCTAGTCTAGGGACTTTGCCTAGGCTTTGATGAGCCGGCGTTCTGTCGAGGTGTCAGGGACACAGTGCATGGGTGTCCCCACACCGCGTACAGGTATCTCTACGGGAGGGCCAAATGTGTGACCGCACTAGACAAGGTATATGAGCACACAGTTTATTAAAGGAGGACTATGAGGGGGGGTGCTTTTCACTCACCTCATAGTTCTAGCCGACCTCTGACAATGAGACTGTCACAGGTCGGCTCAGTAGATCGGGAGGTGAGCGAACACATACCGGCGTTCGCTCACCTCTCGATCCTGTCACGGCTCTCTGCCGTGGCAGGGGGAGGGGCTGGATTGCCCCCTCGCCGCTCCGATCCACCAGCGCTGACTGGCGGAACGGACGGGGAGGGGGCGGGTACAGCTGGCTCTGCCCCTAGATAGGCAGAGCCAGCTGTCACTCACGCAGCTGGGCGGATCCAGACAGAATTGTCGGGATCCGCTTCAGCTGCGGCGTCTCAGTATACCGCGAGCTGTAGCTCCCTATATACTGAGCCTAGGGTGACGGGAGGACGCTAGTTTGTGTCCTCCCGTTACCCTAAGGAGAACTATGAGGAAAAGCCCTGACCCCATAGTTCTCCTTTAAACACACCAAAATCATAAAAACACAAACAATCCCACCAACATCCACAAGTATCAAACATTAACCCACTAAATGCAAACAAAGAAACCACATACAAAAGGGCGAGTGAAACCGGGGGAGCACGGCAACACAAGGGGAGCCACAGAGCATTGGTCAGGGTACAAGGGGGGCACCAGGCTGCAGGACTCAGGACACAGGTAATGGCGACAGGACTCAGGATACAGGTTAGGGTGACAATACTGTGGCACCAGGCTCAATGCAGGGAGGGATTAAATACCCTCCCAGGTAGCACCAGGTGGTGATTAATCGCCGACAGCTGGGAGACACCTGCAGGTGAGCACCGGAATTGCAGGACCTGGTTCCAGCGCCACCTGGAGGTGCTCTGGTCCCTGACACGAGGTGGCCAACTCTTTTGAGATCTCCAACTCATGACGTCACGTCCTTTGTAGATTTCGACAAGATGGCGCTAGTGCGCGTGCACCAGCCGTCACAGTTTTGCAATCCTTGTTGACTTCTCCAGTTGCTGTAGGTGCGCCTGTGCAGCGTTAAAATTGCCATCGAGTTCTCCATCTCCCGTCAGTGCAGGTGCACTGCCGCAGATTGTAGAACTTAATACTTCTCTTGGCTGGCTGCGCAGGCACACTGACGGGGGTTGGAGGTCTTGACGAGTTGGAGAATTCAATAGAACATCAGAATCTCAGTCCAGGAAGTAGATGTTGACATTGAATGATGCCTGAATAATGATGGTGCAATCTTTTTAGAGGGAAATGCAGATGAAGGCATTGGCTGGGGGGGAGTGCTCTGATATCTGCGAGATTAATACATACCTGGATGTTGTTACACTAGACATTTCATGTTATATGTCCCTGTGGGGGAGGCTTTACTTCCCGTCATGCCACTGATACAGGAAATGAGGGGTAATAGCTCCAAATGGGCAGCAGACAGCAAAAATAACGCAGTGGGTTAGAGTCAGAACCTCCATCTTCTTGCTGTCTTTGTTCCTGCTGGGGAGATCCCATGGACAAGTGTCATCTGGCAGGAAGTGAGTGGAAATCACCCACGTGGGGGCACAGCCAGCAGTAAAAACCTGACCAAGATACAGTATAAACATATAAAGTGCCATTTAGCTTGGTATCAGAAGCCCAAGAGTCCATCGTTTCCTTTCCTGGGCGTAGTGCTGAACCCAGGCTGTCAAAGACAGCCAGAGGTTCTAGAATTAGTGCCGGGGGAGGGGTGCAGGAGCCACGGAGTCCCGATGTCATTGTAGAACGGCACCAGGACAAAAAGCCGATGTCCCTGGGCCATTTTGGAACCTGGGGCTCAAGTGGTGAAAGATCTCATTAGCATGTTGCTGAGGAGGGGGGGAGGTCAGGGAGGAATTGTTCCTTTGTTGGACCACACTTTCTGGGGGGTTTTCTTGTATTTCTCGGGTGGTTTTACAGTTCTCACTATTCAAGTTTTGTTTACATTTGATTGACGTGTCTTTTTCCCCCTTTTCAGGAATATCCTACTGCTTGAACTTCCACCAGTCCATGGATAATCGGTCTGAAATCTTTGAATTTGTTCTGCTTGGATTCCCAGGAATTGGGGAGAAGTTTCACACCCCGGTCTCCATAGCTCTGTTCCTGGTCTACCTCACGTCCTTATTCTCCAACGGCACAGTAATAGCACTGATCGCCTGCAACCGACACCTGTATCAACCGATGTACGTGGTCATCTTCAACCTTGCCATCTCTGACTTGCTGTTTGATACCGTGGCCCTGCCCAAGATCCTGGCCAAGTATTGGTTTGATGATGGGTCCATCTCCTACGCTGGATGCATCTTCCAATTGTTTTGTGCCCACTTCCTCGGGAGCTTTGATTCCTACATCCTCTTACTGATGGCCATTGACCGGTATGTTGCCATATGCAAACCCCTGAGGTACCCATCAATAATCAACAATCGGCGTACCATCTTCATCTGCTGCGGCTTGTGGTTCTTCACATGTCTCATCGGGTTAACAATCGCTCTTCTCGACGCCGGTGTAGAAATGTGTGGGCAGGAAATTACGAGCTGCTTTTGCACTAACTTGAGAGTCTTGTCCTTGGCCTGCGATGACGTGACCTCCATAAAGCGTACCACATTTTGCATCGCCATGTTCGTTCTTCTCTTGCCTCTGGTCCTTATCTTGTTCTCCTACGGGGTCATCATCCGGGTCATCATCACGCAGACCCACCCTGCGAGTCGGAGGAGAGCCTATTACACATGTGCCACCCAGTTGAGCGTTATTTGTCTATATTTTATCCCGCGGATATTCGTGTCTGTGGCCCACCAAGTCAAGTTGATCCTCAATGAAGATGTGAACGTCCTTATCCTCTGCTTGTACACGTTCGTACCGCACATGGCTAACCCCATCATTTACTGTCTGAGGACTAAGAAGATTAGAAGGACCCTGAAGAACCTCATCAAAAGGAGGATACTGGTGAAGAACGCACGAATTCCAGCCGTCAATGTCATTACAAACTCAGATCACCTTTAAGGGGGTGACCCAAAACTGTGCTATGGTGGCCTGGATCACTAAGTGGTGGCTACTAATATGGAGACCACCACCTCGAGGACTTGCCTTTCTCCAAACCACCATGAATCCTTACTGCTCCTGCTGAAGGAGGTGGATTGACAGAACAGTCCAATAGGAAACGTGGAACTCTATCATCATGGTCATAGCGGATAGGCACTTGCTGCAAGGCCACTCCTCCGAAAGTGTGGCTCAACCCACCCAAAGCCCAAATAATATATAATTTTTAAATCTGGAATGGCCTTTTAGATTTTACTTATTTATCATCGCACATTTTCTTTTGACGTTGCAGAACATCAAACATGAAATCTCGCTCTCTTTGAATATCTACAGATGAAGTCATAGTGCCACCATGTGTTGCATGTCTGGCATGTCACGTGTCCCTTTCTCATAGTTTCTGGCTTTCCGGGACATTCCCGAATTAATCAGTTGTTTTTTTTTTAAACCAAGTATATGTATAGTCCAAACTTTGTTTTCTTTTAGTCTTGGGTGGGGTAGGGAAGGAATAAATCCTCTGGCAGCCCAACCTTTGCTGTACATTCAAAGAGAGGCACTAGCTCTTCTATTATTGGAATCCAGTGGACGTGGCTGCCCATGTACACCGAGTGGCCAGATTATTATGACCCCCCCATCAGTACTTGGTTGGGCCGCCTGGTGACTCCACGCGATGATGAAAGGTGATGCGAGGAATCTGACACGGCACTGTTGCCCTTCTAACACCGGGAGCGGTGTCTTGAGAGAAGTCTACACAAGAAGCAGATTTGTTTGATCTGGAGTCTTTATTGAAAAACGTGCAATACTACTTCATGAATGCCCCAGTGTGGTCACTATTAGGCAAGGGCTGTATTCATGATAATCTTATCCATGGTCCTATGGTGGTGGAGTTATGGTCACCTGGAGACATTTGTGGCTACGTTCAATAAGAAATAATAGTCAAAATGATCTGCGTCCAGTCCAATCTAAGTGCGAGCTACAAAGCACTACTGACCGTGGTGATCAAGGTGAATAACAATAATATAATGTGCCGAGCTTAAAGGAGAACTATGAGGTCAGTGGTTTTCCCCATAGTTCTCCTTAGGGTAACGGGAGGACACAAACTAGGGTCCTCCCCTCACCCTAAGCTCAGTATACTGTACATCAGGATACAGCAGATGAATGAATTGGCGGTATTTAAGGCGGCCAAAGATGATAATGTTTCCAAGCATGCAATGCAGATTAACATGTGGTCCTGTTACAAGCAGCCATGACACAGGAAATGACTATTGAAGAAGAAGAAGGGCGGGGCATTACACACAAGGGAAATACATCATAGAAGTGAAAAACAGGTGCAATAACCAAAATGACCACTAGATGGCAGTATATGAACGTAGCCATAAAATATCCATAAGAAAATTGGCTTAAGGAAAATAAACAATAAAATTCTCATTTAACATTAAAGGAGAACTATGAGGGGGGAGGGGGGAGTGCTTTTCACTCACCTCCTAGTTCTAGCCGACCTGTGACAATGAGACTGTCACAGGTCGGCTCAGTAGATCGGGAGGTGAGCGAACACATAGCGGTCTTCGCTCCCCTCTCGATCCTGTCACGGCTCTCTGCCGTGACAGGGGAGGGGCTACAGCTCGCGGTATACTGAGCCTAGGGTGAAGGGAGGACGCTAGTTTGTGTCTTCCCATTACCCTAAGGAGAACTATGGGGAAAAACACTGACCCCATAGTTCCCCTTTAATGTGAATATTGACTGTGGCTGTGAATATAAATATTGTGGCAGCGCACATAACTTGAAACTTTTATGAGGTTTCAAAGACGGTAAGTGTACAAATGGCACCTGAGACCCAGGTGATAATATGCAGCCTCCAGCCCCTTCCATCCAATTGGTCTTAGAGGGTGGCAACTTATTTTGATCTCCACAAAGGTCTAGTCATTTTTTCTGTCACTTTATCCCCTGTTTATTTAATAAAGTTTTCTGGTTTGTATGTTTCACTTTTGTAACTTCTGGTTTTGTAACTTTTTGTAACTATCTTTTTCTATGCGCTGCCCCGCCTGGGGATATATTAAATAAAAAAATGAATAAGCTGGTTTCTGATTGCTCCAGAGAACATACGAATCTAAGGAACTCTTGTGTATCCGTTGTATGTGTATAGATGATTGGATCATCCCGGCCTATTAGCTCGGTTGTAAGCCATTGCCAGGCAGGGTCTGATGCGTGTGTGTGGGTAATGGGAGAAGGTGGCCGCATAGGTTTCTGGCTCACGCGATAACGTGGGGAACCCCGGAGGTAGTGGCGTAACAATCGCCATAGCGACCCAGGCGGCCGGTATGGGGCCCGAGCACAGGGTGGGCCCGGCCAGGACCGCCTGGGTCGCTATGGCATGTGGGGGTGCTGGCTGTCACAGACGCAGCTCAGCAGCGGCCGCGGCGCATTTCTCCTCATAGCCGCTGCGGAGCTGTGTCAGCGACGGCCAGCCGCTGTGGCAGATGAGGGCGGTGTACGGAATGGAGGAGGCGGGGCCGGCCTCCTCTTACATCACTGGCCAGCGTCCTAAGAGCAGGTGGGGCCAGTGATGTAAGAGAAGGCGGGGCCCGGGGACGGAACAGGAGCCCGGCGACCACAGAGGCGCTGACAGGTAAGAGATCTCAGACCCTGCAGAGCCCACTATAGAGAGTCTATGGCGGGCTCTGCAGGGTCACTCTCCGCTGGGGCTCTGCAAGTGGCATGACTAGCGATCACGGTGGCCCCATACAAAATTTTGCTATGGGGCCCTGTGATTTCTAGTTACGCTCACTTAGCTGCGGCCGAAGAGTTCGGCGTTCGCAGTGAAGGAGGAGGCGGGGGCCCGCCTAAGAGCAACCTTGCCTCCTCTTACATCACTGGCTAGCGACCTAAGAGCAGGTGGGGCCAGTGATGTAAGAGGAGGCGGGGCCCGTCGATAGAAGAGGAGGCGGGGCCCGGGGACGGAAGAGGAGGATCAGGACCTGATATCATGTGAACAGGCCCTTAGGCTGGGTTCACACTTAGGCGTATCGAATATGCGCGTTTGTTGCTCGGGGATTCGCGGTATTACAGGGATTCGCAGTAAGAAAAAAGACGCGCGACAAACGCGCGTTTCCGACGGCTACCTGGCTGTATCCAAGTGCTGTTGTTGTCATCCATGTCAGAGTCCTGGCTGCCGCTGTGTGAGGAGCGGGATCTGTGTGAGGTAAACACAGGAGCTGCACCTGCGCCATCTTGCCTCCCTGCTGTCCTGTGAGGAGGATAGTAGTCTGTGACCCTGCGAGGTCCTTTCTGCTTATTCTTTCCCTTAGTCATGCTGATCAATGCAGCGGGGAGTAGAACAGGCAGGTTAGGGAATCTGAAGTTGCGTGTGTGGCTGCTGTGAGTCGCTTACAGAGGGATCTCTTCAGGAGCCTCAAATCATGCAGCCATCTCTGTCTGTCTAGACGACAATTTTCACAGTCTGCTTTTTTTTTTTTCTGGCTATTGTTACTCTTGTTTTTTTAACTACCTTACGTCCATGGCCGTTTGTGAACGGCCAGATGGACGTCTGCTCAGAGCGGGAGGGCGTCTTAAGACGTCCTGCCCCTCCCCCCCTCTCGATATTTTTTAGAAAACATTTCTCATACAAAGCAAAGGGGGTGTCATAAAATGATCCACTCGTGGTGTCTAATAGGGATGTCCCGATGCCACTTTTTTAAGACCAAGTACAAGTACTTTCTCCGCAGGTACTTGCCGATACCAATTACTGATAGTCCTGGTCCTCCCCCTGTCAGTAGGCATCGGGATCCCCCCAGCTTTTGGACACAGGGGCGGTCACTCCGGCTGCACTGCCGGTAGTTCTGCCCATGGGGCTCTCCATGGCTGTGCCTGTACCGGGATAGGAGGAGGAGATAAAGAACCAGGCAGGCACCGCCATGGACAGCTACTTGCAGGTCACCAGCAAGCGGCTGAGGTCCCCACAAGCGCAGGTGCTCAGCAGCTGCTGAGGTTTAAAAATTTACCGGTATCTGGCTTAAGAATCGGGGCGTCTTCACAAGTACAAGTACTTGTGAAAATGCCTGGTGTCTGCCCCCCGATGCCGATACTAGTTGTGCCGCCCCAACAGGGGCATAGAATATGAGATGCATAGCCTCAATTAATATTAGCAATGTTATATAGATTAGAGTTTATATAGTGTGGTTTGCCTAACTATTTTCTCATAGCTAAATCTATGTGTTATCCTATGCTGCCATCTAGTGGCCTTTTGTTGTAATATACATGTCTTTCTGTAATTATTCCTCATGTGACGACGTATTTCCCCCTAGTGTACGCCCCTTCCTTCTTCCTGTGTGCAGTACTTCCTGTGTCATGGCCACAGTGAACAGCCACATGTAACAAGGACACACATGTAATCTGCACAGTACGTAGGAAAGGCATCATCTTTTGACCGCACAATACTATAACCGTTCATCTGCTGTTCCTATCATCTGCTGTAACCTGATGTTAAAGAATAAACACCTCTTTTGAATGAATCGGTATTGATGAGTTCAGCTATCTGATGAGGATTGTCCGCAGTGAGTATATCTGCTTATACAGGCCAGGCATAGAGGTCTCAGCAAGGGATATATTTTGCTATCACAACGATCGGAGTCAGAATACTAGTATCGGTATCTGGACATCCCTAGTGTCTAATTCTTACGGTACACCACGTTCTTAGACTATTTGCTTATTCCCGCATCTTCAGCTTACTAAGCACATTAATATACCATAAACTGTAGATATCATTGGAAGCAGTGGTTCCGTAGGACCTGGAATTTACTTCAAGGGTTCCTCCAGAGTAGGGTCAGCAGGTAGGCGGTAGCACCAACAGGTAGTGAAGTGCCGACAGGTAGACTCAGAGAGAAAAGAGGTGCTGTAGAAGGTGATGGTAGACCACGTGTGGGTGCCACAGAGAACAGAGGAGAGCTCTGAGAGATAGATGGAAAGGGGGTTGAGGGGCAGGGGTACTGCAGGGCGCAGCCATCCAAATCCATCTGGTGGAACGTGTATGCAGGCACAGGTCAGTGTTATCTCCAACACAGCTTGACAGTGTGGGATTTTTGCAACGTGTCTGCTGCCTACAGCAGCCTTTTGGTTTGCATCCTCTGCCTCCAGAGGATAAGTAATATTAAGAGCAGCAGCCACTTACAGGTACAATATAGATGAGAAACCACAAAAATCTCCACCAGAGGCTTCTCCACATTTCATTTCCCTGGCGTCTTCAAGGCTCCCAGACTATTCCTATAATGACTATTCAAGGGTTCCTCCAGAGTAGGGACGGCAGGTAGACAGCAGCACCAACAGGTAGAAATGATGACTATTCCCGTTGGGTGTCATTACAACCTCTACTGTCTTGGAAAGTTTCCAACAGATACTGGCACATTCCTGATGCCATGTTCTTCTATTCAGCCTCAACAGCATTGGTTATGTTCACACCAAAGTTGAGTGACAAGGCTCCAAGACTATTCATAGGAAAACGTCCCTCCCATTGGTACTACTATGACCTCTATAACCCTGGAATGGCTCCTCTAGATGCAGGGACATCGCTGGCTCCATTCAGCCTCAGAAGCAATGGTGAAGTTGGCACGGATGATGGGTGAGAGAGTCCACCTCCCCAATTCATGCCAAGGGTGTTGAGTTGATGAAGGCCCTCAAACAAATTTCTCCCTTCCTATATCTGCACATAATTTCTATGCAGACTTAGCTTTATACATGGGGGGTGGGGGGCGGGTTATGGGCAATGTCGTCTTAAAACAGGAAAGAGTTTTCTTGAAATTGCTGCTACACGGCAGGAAGTAGAATTTGTCATAATTTTACTGACCACGTTTTTTCTTGCTGGAGATGACAGCACATCATTGGAAGAGGCGTAAGGGTGTGGGAAACGTACCCATTGGCCAGTCAGGACAGTCACTGGAAGTATGAAACCCGGTTCAGTTTTGGGGTGTCAGTATTTTACAGATTAATTAGGCATTTTATTATGGTGTATACACTCACTCAGTGGCGTCACAAGGGGGGTGCAGCCCACACCCGGGTGACACCATTGGAGGGGTGACACCAAAATGACTCACAGTGATTTTGGTGCCACCCCCCTCTGAAAAGTCGGGCGCTCAGTCATGGACCAAACGCCCGACAGTATCAGGAGAGAGGAGGGGACCCGGCGGCATACCACATCCCGCCGGGTGACTGTCCCCTCCTCTCCCTGCCGGCATCCATCACCAAGATGGCCGCCGGCAGGTATCAGAATACTGCCGCGCGTGCGCGATGACGTCATCGCACATGCGCAGTGACGTCTCGGCGGGGTGACACTCGGTTAGCGCTCCAGGTGTCACCCAGCCTCGGGACGCCCCTGCACTCACTGCCCACTTTATGCACCTTAATGCAAATATCTAACGAGCCAATCACATGGCAGAAACTCAATGCATTTCGGCATGTAGACATGGTCATAACAATCTGCTGAAGTTGAAACCGAGCATCAGAATGGCGGAAGAAATGTGATTTCAGAGGCCTTGAACACGGGATGGTTGTTGGTGCCAGACGGGCTGATCTGAGTATTTCAGGAACTGCTGATCTACTGGGATTTTCCCCCACAACCATCTCCAGAGTTTACAGAGAATGGTCCGAAACAGAGAAAATATTCAGTGAGCGGCAGTTCTCTGGGTGAAAATTCCAGCCATCGGAGGAGAATGACCAGATAGGTTTACACTGATAGAAAGGCAACAGTAACTCTAATAACCACTCCAACCGAGGTATGCAATACAGTGCGGAGTGCAATACAGTGCGTTCCAGAGCCTGACCGCTCTGGAACGCACTGTTTGTGGTGTGAACCAGCCCTAAAGCCTAATTCACACCATCCTCAGTGCGTTCTGGCGCTATTGTGGACGGAACGCACAGGATCGCATTGCGGCCGGCTCAGTTTGTTGTGAGGTGGGAGCGGGTGTGGCGGTGGGTTGAAGTGAATGACATGGCAGCCATGCCCTTCGGCCGCAATGCGATCGGCCACACGGGAACGCAAGGCACATCAGTGCCTGCGATCCGGTCCAGTCAAAAAAAATGCTGCTAGCACTATTTGTTTCTGACCGGACCGCAGGCATTAATGTGCCTTTCGTTTCCATGCGGCAGATCGCATTGCGGCTGGAGGGCGTAGCTGCGGGGCCATTCACTACAACACATCACCACACCCCCTCCCACCCCACAACAAACTGAGCCGGCCGCAATGCGATCCGGTGCATTCCGGCCACAATAGCGCCGGAACACACTGAGGATGGTGTGAAGGAGGCTTTACAAGTCTTAACTGTGCAGCCCCTTAACTATAATGTCAGATCCCACTCAAGCCAATAGCCTACCTGCTTCTGGCTCTTCAGGTGTGGTCCCAACGACTGGTAGATCGCGATCGGCCTTATGGGCACCCCTGGTGTATACTGTCTTCATTGTACATACGAGAGGCTTTATCCTTGAAGAAGGTGCTGAAATCAGTATTTTGTCAAGATTAAAGGGAAATGAAACTTCAAAATGTAGAAAATATGTAGCCCGGCCCCCCCGGACAAGAAAACTTCCCCCTTTCAGCTTGTTTATTCCTCCATTTGGTTGTCCCGGGTCGCCTGGTTTGCTGTGGTCATTGTTTGGGGGCTTCTGAAGATTGGTAAGTCGCTATCTCTGTTGGGAATGGCTCCCGCTGTTCCTGGGGAAGTTATGGCCACTTTAAGTGCGTAGAAGGTGGCCATGAGGAAACTTGAGGATGATTGTTGATGTGATTAATGAGCAGATGGGGGATATTCACTATGTCACCAGGTCACAAGGTGGATGGTGCTAATCCACCAGTTCTCTGAAACTGTCTCCATGCCATGTAGCTCCTCGGGATTTTGCTGAGGAGCCAAACTCTAATATTTCGATCTGGGACTTTTTACAATTAGGGGGGTCACCTGGGGTGCTGAGCTGGTGGAGGCCTACCTGGATAACATAAACCAACAGACAAACTGATGTTTTACCCCCCCGGCGGAGGGGCAGATCTAGGAGAGGAGTGGGCAACTTGCTCATCTGTAAGTGTATCTACCGGATTGTGACCAATACTGAGAGTACACAAGGTGCACTGGGTGCCGAGCACTGCCATCTGGCAGAGCCAAGGAACCTTCCTAAATGGTCATCTTCTGATATATTTGTGGGGTTCTTGTTAGCACTCTGATTGTCTTCTGCCTAAATTAGCCCAGATGTGTGTCCTCCATATTGATAGACAGGGAATGTTAGAACAACTGGCTCGGGGTTCTCTACGGCACTCTGGCATACATTAGAGTGTAAGCTCCTCTGGTGCAGAGTCTGATGTGACTGGCTCAGTGTGCTCTGTACAGCACTGCGGTATAGGTCAGAGCTATATAAATGTATAATAATAATAGTGTGTGACTGTGGGGAAGGGGACATTAGAGTGTAAGCTCCTCTGAATAACCTTCTGTCCTCACTCTTCTAACGGCAAACTCTTCTTTCTTCAGAGAACAGAGAAAAGACCTCGCCTGGTGACCCCATACAAGGTGTGTACAATTTATAGCAGTATCATCTCGTTTATTAGGAAAATGGTCCAGGCTCCCTATTTTAGGGCCTCTGACCAAAGATCATCTAGAACTAGCAGAGGGAGAAGAATCAAGGCTAATCATTACAATTTGTGTGTAAAGCTGAGGTCATTGTCCAATAATCAGGTGAACAGCTATTCAGAGAAATCTAAAAGTTGTTCTGTCTTCATTGTGTGTCCTAGAAAGGCTTTGTGACATCTATCGACAACATTGAGTCTTTTGTTGAAATGTACATGGTTGCAGAATGTTAAAATAGTGGGAAAAAATAGTTCATTGGCTGTAACGTACCTGGTGAGAGACCGGAAGGTGAGGAGGCTTCCCTTGCGACTCGTGTCCTACCACCCCTGGCGATGGGAGCACGAGTGACACTGGTGGGAAACGACACTGTGCAGGAGACGTCCTGGTATTATTATTATACAGGATGTATATGGCACCAACAGTTTGCGCAGCGCTTTACAATATAAGGAAGACATTACAATCACAATACAATTCAGGACAAGATGGTAAGGAGGGCCCTGCCCCTGAGGGCTTACAATCTAAAAGGGAGGGGCCAGTGATACATGAGGAAGTAGCTGTGTGGGGATGAATTGTTTGAGAAAGTGATGGTTGAGCAGTTAGGTTGAGGTGGGATAGGATTCCCTGAAGAGATGAGTCTTAAGGGATCGCCTAAAGGTAGTCAGAGTGGGAGATAGACGGACAGGTTGAGGCGAGGAGTTCCAAAGAATGGGGGAGACTCTAGAGAAGTCCTGGAGGCGAGCATGGGAGGAGTTGACAAGGGAGCTAGAGAGCAGGAGGTCTTGAGAGGAGCGGAGGAGACGGGTAGGGTGATATTTTGAGACAAGGTTTGCGATATATCCGGGGGGCGGAGTTGTGGATGGCTTTGTAAGTCGTTGTTAATATTTAGAATTTTTTTATCCTTTGGGCTTTTGGAAGCCAGTGGGGGGATCAGCAGATGGAGGTTGCAGACACTGAGCGGTTGGTTAGGTGGGTAGGTTTGGCAGCAGCATTCATGATAGACTGAAGGGGGGATAGCCTGTGTAGAGGTCGGCCAATGAGGAGGGAGTTACAATAGTCGAGACGATAGATAACAAGGGAGTGGATGAGTCATTTTGCGGTTTCATTGGAGAGGAAGGGGCGTATTTTAGACATGTTACGAAGGTGAAGGCGGCAGGATTTGGATAGCGATTGGATGTGGGGAAGAAAGGTGAGGTCCGAGTCAAGGATAACACCTAGCACCTTGGCATGGGGGGAGGGTTGGATAGTTGTGTTCTCAATCGTAGCGGGTAGTCAGTAAGCTAGAGGTCCAACCAGGCGGGCAGCTAGGGGACAGAATCGAGAGACTGAAGCGTGGTCAGGAAAGCCACAGGTCAGAGCCAGCCGGGCAGCGGGGTACAGAATCAGGAAGCAGAAGGCAAAGTCCAGGAAACAGGCCGAGGTCAAGGGCAGGCAGCAATCAATATAGAGTAGTCCAAACAAAACCGGGTCAAGCAGGTAACAGAAATCCAACAGAGTACAAGCACATAGGAACCCTAGCTGGAAGACCATCAGCAATGGGACAAGGGTAGGTTCGTTTTTATATGCTGAACTATTAGGGCACCAGCGTCATTTCCAATGCGACGGCCGTTGCGCATGTTTTCCCGCACTTCCGGTTTGCGCGCACTATGCCATCTTTTTCGGCCACACGAACACTAACAGGGTTATTCACAAAAGAGTGAAGAGTTTGGAGAAGGCAGGAGAAGTGGACAATCTAGGACAACAGAGCTGAACTGGAGAATTTTTCCGTCAGCTATGTTGTCCTAGATTGTTCACTTTTCCTTCCTTCTCCAAACTCTTCACCCTTTGGTGAATAACCCTCTTGGTTTGTGCGCATGCGCAGCCGCCATTTTACCCTTACATTGGCATGTAATTCTCTAATACCTATAGTTGTTGGTCCACAAACATCAACCACATCTTCTTGTGTTTTGGTAGTGTCATAAAAGTGGAGAATTAGGCAATGAATTCATAAAGTCGCGTTGCTCCTGAAACGTCTACATTTGTTTTCTGTCTCCCACACAGATTGGAGAGTACAATATATGACAGTGATGAAACAGAAGTTCCAGTGCACCAAAGAGCACAACTCCCGTATAGGGGAAGCGGTTAGCCTGGACAGAAGATACACCAGACTCCTAATGGTGAAGCGTTATCGGAATCAAAAAGAGAAAGAACATGAACTAATGGCTTTAGGCTTGAGACATCAACAGATAATGGAGGAAAGATCATCTGACGAATGTGCCCGCGCTTCAATCCAGACCATGTTCAATCCCAATGAAGAGGGAGTCATTCCCAAAATTGTCGTCTTACAAGGACCTGCTGGGATTGGAAAAACGATGACCTCCAAAAAGATTATGCTGGACTGGGCCTCTGGGAATCTCTACCATGACGAATTCAGCTTTGTGTTTTACCTTAGCTGTAGAGAACTCAACACGATCACCGATAAAATAAGCCTCGGCAGACTCTTGTCGAGAACCAGCAAATTCCAGTTTCCGGAGGATGTGATGCAGTCCATTCTGAGTAATGCTAAGAAATTACTCTTTGTCATTGATGGTTTCGATGAAGTGAGATGGAGTCTGAAGGACAATTTTACCGTTTGCGGTGGCCCGCTTCAGGAAACTCACCGAGAAGTCCTTTTGAGAAGCTTGGTCAATAAACGCATTCTTTGTGAAGCTTCTCTGGTTATCACCACAAGACCATTCGCCTTAGAAAAGTTGGATGAACTTATTGAAGATGTGTGTTCGTGCCACATGGAAATTCTGGGATTTACAGAGGAAGACTTTGAGGAATATTTCCACAACTCATTTCACAATGAAGATGATGCAGACAAGGCTCTCAGTATCATAAAAGACAATGAAGTTCTACACACCATGTCTGCTGTCCCCATCACCTGCTGGATTGTGTGCACTGTGTTGAAACAAGAAATAAAAAAAGATCTGGATTTAATTCTGTGCAGAATAGCCACATCTGTCTATCTCCTCTACCTAAAGGGTCTACTCAAGTACCACGGAAGGAACCAGCCAACACACAATTGCCTTAAAAAGCTGTGTGCTCTGGCCAATGAGGGCATTTTAAAGCAGCAAATCTTGTTTCAGGAGGAAGACCTGGAAAGACACGGATTCTCTCTGTCTGAGGTTGAGTCTGTATTTCTGAATGAGAACATATTTCACCAGGATATTGACAGTAGCACTTGCTACAGCTTTATCCACCTCAGCATGCAGGAGTTTTTTGCTGCTATGAACTACGTGATGGAGGAGGAGGAGGTCACGAGAGACCAGGTGGCTTTTCTTCCAGAGATCTGTGAGGGAAAGAGTCTGTCGCAGTTGTCTTCTTCTAGTCCACACTTGGCATTAACTTTACAGTTCCTGTTTGGCCTCACAAATGAAAAGCAGCTCAAGGAGCTGTCAAAGATCACCAGGCGTAACGTTTCATTTCAAGCAGCACGTGCCATCAGAGATTGGCTCGTTGGAGAAGACCCTTCCAAATACAGAACTCAATCAATTTGTTGCTTGTACGAGACACAGGATGAGGATTTTGTTCGGGCAGTCATGTGCCGAAGCACGGACTTGGAATTCCGCCTGATGGAAGGGAAATTCTGTGCTAGGGAACTGGCCTACTGTTTGAAGTTCTCTGCTGATATTAGTGCTCTAACCTTCGTATGCAATATAATGGGGCAGAAGGACCTGGAAGTACTCTATCCATTCATGCAGAGGTGTTCCTCTCTAAAGTAAGTGTCTCTGTAAATACTCAAATCAAGATCAATCATAGCTGACCATTTTTCACCTATGGACTTAAGCTCTTAAGTGCTTTGGAAAGTCATTCATGGAATGTCCCATTCCTGTGTTGGATGGTGACCCTCTTTTCACAGCAAGGGCCCATCAAAGCTTTGCTATGGGTAGATGTGTACACCCAAGCCCTACAACATGTTTGGGGGAAGTTCCACTTGAAATGTACATATTTCACTCCTATATGATGGTTTTACAAGGATTAGGGAACCTAAACATTTTCTGGTCTGTTAATCATTATGTACTTCTCCACAGGATAGCATGTTACGTAAAAATCTCATCGGTGCCGTGTAATGTTTTACGGGACCTTATTATTACAAGCCAGAAACTAAAGCAACTGGACCTATCAGAAATACATCTGCGTGACTCTGATGTCCATCTTCTGTGTGAGGGACTCAGAGTCCCGTGCTGCACCCTCCAGGAGCTGAGGTGAGAATTATACTTTCATGATATGATAATCAGCAGGACTCTGGAATAAACCTTCTTTGGAGGGACTCAGAGATCCGGTCCTCCACAATAAAACTGGAATACTTTGGTGTAAGGGATCCAGTTCTTCTACTGACACACTTAACTTTATTTCATATTTTTTTCAGTTTGTTTTGTGATTTGAGCCACTTCACCTGTCATGAACTCCGTACTGTTATAATGGTGGCCAAACCTTCTTTGGAACTACAAGTAATATTTCATGTGAGCTTTACTATGGCAATGCCAGAAGCAGAGACGTTGTGCCAGACCCTCAGACTTCCGAACTGCACCTTTCTGAATGATTCAATATTACACGATAGAATGGCCAGGTAGGAGCATAATGATGGTTGTTTGTTGTTGAAGAGTCATTCTTTCCAGTGCTGATAGTTCAGTTATGGATCGATGCATGGGGATCATATCATCTTATAAGTCTCAGGGACTCCAACGGAAGCTCTCATGCCTGAGTTAGGTTGGTAGAGATGAAATCCTAAGCACAGAGACTTTGCTATCCCAGTCACCTGGAAATATTTTTGGGAGGGCTAATTTTAAAGTAGAATTCCAGGAATTGTAAAAATCAACCCTTGCAGTGGGGCTACCCCACAGGTGTGGTCTAGGGGCTAAAAAAAAGAAAACATACTCACCTGATCAACGGTCCCACCTGGCCGCTGGACCTCTACCACAGTCTCTTCTTCCCTGGTCTAAGGATCATTGATGTCATCTATGTAAGTGCATTAGACGTGAGAAAACCAAGGGTCATTCCACTGTCAGAGGGGGGAAGAGAGAGGCGAGCGTTGGCCACCGCTGGGCCAAGGATCAGGTGTGATTTTTCTTTAGGGATCTGTGTATCAGTGTCATGATCTGTCAGGGGGGTACGGCTGGGCCGTGAGTGGAACCCCTTGACAGGGGCGGCAAGCCAAAGTCCGAGGTCGTGGTACACAGGGAAAATCCAAGAAGAATAGTCAGGTCCAACCCGGGTCGAGGCAGGCAGCTAGTTTCAGTAACGGTAGGGTAAGCCAAAGGGTCGGTAATCAGGAGTCCAAGCAGAGGTTCAGGAATAAAGACAGGTTCAAGGCACAGGGAGCTGGGAGATCACACTATAGGGATAGAATAACTTAGCAATGAGCCAGGGCTCTGACTGGGATTTTATACTCAGGATACTCAGGAGCCAATGGCGAGAGAGGGGCAGAGGGTGTGTGCTGGGAAACTCCCCCAGCAAGGATCACACCTGACACCAGTAACAGGCACACTACGTGCGCGTCCCCGTGCCTGCACACGCAGCCTGTCCACCGCGCACTTGTCACTCATTGCGCGCATGCGTACCTGCAATCCTGGTACCAGGGGTCCTGCCAGGAAGGGGAACCCGTGCCCCCCGCCACACATGGCCACCCCGAGGAAAGGTAAGCCCCCTAGTACCCTGACATGATCTGGATTCAGGCTCAGAGTCCAGTAGCTGAAACAGCAGTCAAATTCGTTGTATAACAGGCCGAGTTCGGTACACAAGCAGACGGTACAAGTATAGGAGCAGGTAGTCAGTGAACAAGCCGAGGTCAGGTGCCAAATGTATCCGGTATGAAGCAGAAGACGATGAGAGTAGTCGGTGAATCAGCAGCCAAAGGTCGGTACACGGGTAGCAGTATGAGCGGATTGTAGCACAGAGGGAGCAGGAAGCAAGATATTGGTAGGAGCACAATAATCTGGCGAACAGGAAGTGCAGAGGAGTGGCTTAAATAGGGAGGAGCAAGGAGTTCAGGGTTCAGCAGACACTAGGTTTACCTGAGGATTACACAGGTGATCAGGCAAGGAGCTATCCAAAGTGGCTCAGCAGGTAGAACCACCGCCAGCTACAGCAGAGGCCCCGGGTTCAGATCCGGTTCCTGACAATCAGCTGGTGGATCCTTGTTTCACTCAAACCTTGGGTATGAGACAAATCTCTGGTAATTTCCACCATTGCTTGCTAACCAATGTCTTGTGAGTCACATGTACAGTATGTATTGCTTCTCGACATTTGTAAAATATAGACAAAGCGTATTGCCTGAAGCAAAAATCACAATTGCAGTAAGCTGCTAAAACCAATAAGATTTCACCTTTAGCCATTTGTGAAAGAACGAGAGATGAACTTTTATTGGCTTCCGCCTGCTACTACACAGTACACAGTGCTGATCCCCCCGTGACAGGAATCTCTTTGGCACACCAAGATTTTCCTTTTAATATTATTTTCTGTTACACCATATGGAGCACCTGAGAACAATTGTGACCTGAACCTGATCGGTGCTCTCTCTCTTTATTTTAGGCTTTTTCTTAGAACAATTCATTTTGCGTACAAAAACTCCTGGTGCAGACCAAGTAGCTCCACCGTCAGTATAGGTAATGTGCCATTTAACGTTTATTTATGTTTAAATTGCCAAGAATTGGTACCAGAAAAAAATGGCCTTGTGTATGAGACCCCCTTCGTATGTGGCCTATGACTAAATGGAGACCCCTCATAAGAGACCAAGACAGTGGAGAGTCCCCTTGTACAAGACCCATGACTAATGAGACCTTTTGGTGAGACTGTAATGAGACCCACTTGTACGTGACCCATGGCAGTAGAAAGACCCCTCATATGAGACCCACGACAGAGGAGGACCCTAACTGTGACACACACCACAGTGGAGAGACTCCTCATATGAGACCCACTCATAACAGTAGGCAGACCTCTCATATGAGGCCCATGACAATATAAAGACTGCTCGTACAAGACCCATGAAAATAGAGAGAGCCTTCATATGAGATCCATGACTGTGTTGAGATCTATGATATTGGAGTAACCCATGACTGTAATGAGACCCCTTGTATGAGACCAATGACTGTGATGAGTTCTCTTGTATAATGACCCATGACTGATGAGATCTTGTGTAGGAGAGCCCCTCTTATGTGACCTATGACTAAATGGAGACCCCTCATAAGAGACCAAGACAGTGGAGAGTCCCCTTGTACAAGACCCATGACTAATGAGACCTTTTGGTGAGACTGTAATGAGACCCACTTGTACGTGACCCATGGCAGTAGAAAGACCCCTCATATGAGACCCACGACAGAGTAGGACCCTAACTGCGATACCCACCACAGTGGAGAGACTCCTCGTATGAGACCCATAACAGTAGGAAACCTCTCATATGAGGTCCATGACAATATAAAGACTGCTCGTACAAGACCCATGAAAATAGAGAGAGCCTTCATATGAGATCCATGACTGTGTTGAGATCTATGATATTGGAGTAACCCATGACTGTGAAGAGACCCCTTGTATGAGACCAATGACTGTGATTAATTTTCTTGTATAAGACCCATGACTGATGAAGCCTTGTGTAGGAGACCCCCCTCGTATGTGACCTCTAACTAAATGTAGACCCCCTCATTAGAGACCAAGACAGTGGAGAGTCCCCTTGTATGAAACCCATGACTAATGACACCTCATGTTGAAACTGTAATGAGACCCACTTGTACGGGACCCATGACAATAGAAAGACCCCTCATAAGAGACCCATGACACAGAAGGACCCTAACTATGAGACCCGTTATAGTGGAGAGACTCCTTGTACAAGACACCTAACAGAAGACAGACCCCTCATATGAGACTCAGGAAAATTGAAAGACTGCTTGTACAAGACCTGTGACCATAGGGAGAGCTCTCATATGAGACCCATAACAATAGAAAGACTGCTTATACAAGACCTATGACCATAGGGAGAGCTCTCATATGAGACCCATGAAAGTAGAGAGACCCTTCATATGAGATCCATGACTGTGTTGTGACCTATGAGAGTGGAGTAACCCCATGACTGTAATGAGACCCCTTGTATGAGACCCATGACTGTTGTGGTAGCTCTCATGACTGGTGACACGCCTTTGTACAAGATGCCTAACTGCAAGACCCCGATAAGATGAGACTGAGTTGTGGTGTCCCATTGTGTCTGGACAATGTCATTCTTTCTCTTGGTACTTTTTGAGCTGGTGTAGGTGACAGACCAAAAAAGGTATAGTGGAAAAATTTGGTTTTATGAAATATTGATGTTTTGGCTGTTGATCGCTCTCTAAAATGATAGAAAAGTGACCAGGGATGTGTCAGGAGGAATTGCTTGCCTGTTGGTGGTAAACGGTGTCCCTCTTGTCTCAGGCAGGTGAGTTTTGTGCAAACTTCTTTCTTGTGAAAGTCAAATTCATGTTTTCGATTATGACTAAATTTGTATTTGACACCTATACGAGATTGGAAGGCCTCCTCTCAGGAAATGATCCGCACATAACGCCACAACTCTTTTTTCTTTTCCCAGGTGGCTTCAGGCCTTGTTTGGGTGCCGCAGCTCACCCGACGTTATTTGGAGTTGGAGCTCCGTTGGGCCCTCGTGGATTCAGTATTCCTCATCTTGGCTTCATCTCAACATTAATGTAGCAACGTCAAGGATCTGAACTTCAAGTTGACCCATTTTGTATTATTCATGGCAGAAACATTATTCCCGAATTATCTGTACAGTGAACTTGTCAAATTCCTCCATGTTATGTTGAACACTGTGGCTTGTTATTCCATTATTGTCTGTACATGTCCGTGTAGGTAGGTGCAGTACGGCCAATGGCCACTAGATGCCCCCATGGGGCCCTGGAGGTAGATGTAGCTCTGGCCTGGGGAGACTCTGTGTCCCAGGAGAGCTGATTTATATGGGGTGCCCGAGAGGGGAAGGGAGTTCCAGTTCAGTACCGGAGAGCAGAAGTCTAAGACTGTATGCAGAGTCTCCGGAGGGACACTGATTCTAAAACATAGGCTGGTCCATGGGAAGGACAGGACCAGGCCTAGGACTATGTAGAGCTATAGAGATTCCCCAGTTTCCCTGGGAGGGGGAAACCACCGAGCTAGGATTGACAAGGATGGGATTCCGGAGAATAGTGAGAAGCTGTAGTACTGACGATATTTGCCAGTGGGCCTCTGGCCGAAGTAAGTCGTGGACTCTGGGCTGAACCTGGGCTGTTCTTCTCTCTCTCTAATCTGTATCACCATGCAACTATCAAGAGATGTGCCGTCATCCCACTCGGGGGTGGCTGAAACGTATGCTTATTGTCATGTTCATTCTTTCAAGTAAAACCAAGAAAAGACTATCTGTGTGGACTGGTTCTTCTCCCTCCAACCTCTGAGAAGGTGGGGTTCTACCGGAGTGTGATGTTGGACTGTATCGTGGCTGTAACCATCCTGAGGAGGGTAGGTGCGCAATGGGGCTATGCCTGACATAGGGTGCCTTTCATGGTGGCCTTTCTCCCTAGGTGGGAGGAAGCGCCAAATACCACAGAGGCAGTGGAAGCCATGAGGGCCCTGTGTGCGCAGTACTACACGTGTGGGAGTTGTTTGCACGAGGCCAGAGCCGTGACCCCTGACCGTGGGGGTGCCTGGTGTCGTGTTGCATACACGGGGTTACACAGAGCCAACCCAAAGGGAACTCACACGCAACACCCCAAGAGTGAACCCCGCCTACATCCGTGTACCCAGGAGGCTCCTGAAACTGCAGCTCCTGCTCAAGAAAAGATTACCCCACCTGGAAAACTGTATTAACTGTACAGTACGGGACGGCTGTAGGATCACCAACTGTCATCTCTCTCTGCTTATAAATACCTTGGTCTGGTGAGTGCGCATCCCAGAGGGGACTTAGATGTGGACACTTCGGTGTGGGATTTGGTAGACACACTGGAAATTTTCAATCATTTTTGGATTCACAAATGAAGAGTTTTTTTGGATTCACGTCTAATCATTAATTATGGATTTCTGAAACCCACTTTGAATCACTTTTGGACTCACTTTATCACTTTGATTGATACATTTGAGATTGTTTTCATTTTGATATGTTCTTTATATGTTTTTTCATATATATATATATGATGCATCACTGTTTAGTAATTTATTTGATCTAATTTATGCATATTGGCACGAGTTGAGATTTATGTTCACTATTTTGATGTTTATATATTTTTGTCAACACTGATTTAATTCACTTATTGATGACCCCGAGCGCTGCACACCTAGCTATATATCAGTTGACCCCAGTGTCTTAAAGTACAGCAGCTCCTACATAGATATTTTAAATTACATTTTAATTTATATTTACAATTTTAATTAGTATTTAAATATTTATTTACCTAAGCGTCCTTAAATTATCCATAAGCGCGGAGTACGCAGATTCCATGTATCACATGTTTGCAGGCATGGTGTTGGTGCTGGCTACAAGAAAATCTGCAGAGAACGAGCTCGCAGGAGGTCGTATAGCATTGGCGCAACGCTCCATCAATACTACAAATCTTTCTATGTCCAGGACCATGTTGTTCATGCCTACTGGTTTTCCCTCTACCGCTCCACCACAACCAGGAAGTCCAACGATGATGACATCATGAAAAGTGTAGCAAGAATACTTTTTTTTTGCTTAGCTGCAGTTCGGTCTGTTTTCGGCGCGTTTTCATTGCGTTTTTGACGCGTTCGTGCGTTTCCGGACCGGACAAAATGTGACATGCAGTATTTTTCTGTCGTGACCTGAACGGACTGCGCACGCAAGAACTGTAGCCCATAAAACACATAGGGATACATTGGGATGCATTTTTAGTGCAGGAGCACACGGATCTGGTCCGGACAGAATCCGGACGTCGTCAAAATTGTCGTCAAAAAAAGATATAAAACCTGTAAATATAAATTAAAATAAAATGATTTATAATGGAGATCTCAGTTGCCCACACAGGACAAGTGGATTCCATTGTACAACTTCCAGTTTCATTTCATAATCCTGAACCGTAATCTATAACAGACTCACAAAAGGGCTCTGCCTGATATCTTCTGCCTGTGGGTGGTGACAGCAATGTCACAGACACTGAGGCGCCACGAAGGAGTGGGGGGAAGGTTAAACAAAATTTGTACACCAGGAGAAGCAGTGTGTGTGTGATTGTGTCAGGGTGTGAGTGAGAAGAACAAGTACTGAATGCTCATTGTGAGAAGCACTGTGACGAGTGGCGAAGGCTGCAAGCAGCATCACAGCACCTGCAAAGCTTTTATATGGCTGTTGTCCCATGGTGCCCTTCGAAGGGAAGGGCAGAAAAGAATAAAGGTGAGATGTAACAAGGACTAAAGGCCACCACCTAAAATTAGCGGAGAAAAGCTTTATCCACAAAGGGCGTAGGGGCTTCTTTTCAGTTAGAGCGGTTACATTTTGGAACTCTCTGCCACAAGCAGCGGTATCAGCATAGAATATTGGTTTGTTCAAAAATCAATTAGATTCCATCATAAGAGACCGTAACATACAGGGGTATAGGTATACTTAAATACTAGACCACACATGGACTCTTATACGCACATGCACGCACAAGACACACGCACACAAAGGTTGAACTTGAGGGACCTGTGTCTTTTTTCAACCTCAAATACTATGTAGCTATGAAATGGTATGAGGGGCAGAACGGGCAAACCAGACAACTTACACTATATGGCCAACAGTATGTGGTTCCCCCTCCAACTGATTGGGTTCAGGTGTCTCCAGTGAAGGTTCTGTTAATCCTACACGATACAAAGACATTGTAGACAATTTTGCCTTGTGGTCACAGTTTGGTGAAGACCCTTTTCTGTTCCACCATGACTGTCCACTGTGTACAAAGCCAGCTCCATATAGATACGTTGTGACCAGTTTGGTGGAGGAACTCGAGTGTCCTGCACAGAGCCCTGACCTCAACCCTACTGGACATCTTTGGGTTGAATTGGAATGCCGATTGTGCCAAGTCTTCTCATCCAATATCAGTACCTGATCTCATAGATGGGCACAAATTCCCATAGACACCCTCCGAAATCTTGTGGAACCTTGGAGTGGATGCTGTTATAGGAGCAAAGTGAGGCAACTGTGGATTTGGAATGGGATGTCCAATTTGTTCATATAGGTGTGATGGTCAGGTGTCCACCAACGTTTGGCTGTATAATGTATATAAAACATCCCCTATAGGTATAGTATGAGCTAGCAGTGGACACCAGACATTCTAATAGGCATGTTATTAGCTATCACTTTAAAGCTCACCTCTAGACAAGGCTCATGTTTTGGACAGTTGTAGAAGGGCCGGATCATTGTTACTCCTCACTGAAGTCAGAGGTTCTTCTATTAAGCAAAACAAACGACAAACGCACTCAACAATTCGTCACCAACTATACAGCAAGGTGCACACGAAATGGGCTTAAAACAGTAGACAGTAGAAAGGCATCATGGCACACTCACAAGTCAGCATGTAAAAAAACTTGTCTCACCACAAAGGTCAATAACAGAGGTTTGGATACACGTCTTCTGCAGAAAATGTGAAAGCCGCACTGCCGCGCCAAGGCACCTGACAAACCTGCACCCAATTTGAAATCTTCTGCCCCCATGTGCTCCAAAGTCCGACATGTGTAAAAGGAAAACGAAAAAGAAATGGGGAAGCGCCACAACCAGATGTGAAAAGGTTTGGTAAGAACGTCAGTGGGCCGGACAGTGAATGTGCGTGGAATGGTGACTTTCGCTCAACACCTCCTCCGTCGATGACATCACTTCGTTCCTAACCTCTTGTTGAGTCTCTACATTGCTACACTTTGCTCGGGGTTCATTTTGTATTACTTTCTCTTCCCCCCCAATCTCGGACTACATCAATACCATCGGGAAGGCACCACCAATAACTGCAGTCAACTACGGGCGAAAGTCCATGCCCATTCACTGTCCGGCCCACTGACGTTCTTACCCACCATTTCACATTTGGTTGTGGCGCTTCCCCTTTTCTTTTTTTCGTTTACATTCTCATCAGTGCCCATCGAAGCTGGCCATACATGCATAGAATTCAAATCTACTAGGTTCCCCCATCCACGCTAAACAGCAATGATGGGGGGAATCTCCCCTGCCAGCTATTGAACTCAGACAGGTAGCACCTATGGCTGTGTCAATACCTGAACATTGACTGTATCTGATTGCACATAGTCACTCTTCCCTAGATAAGTTTCCATCCGACTCTTTCTAATGCAGTTTGTTAAGGTGGATGGTGTCAACAGGGCCACCCACAGCTCAAATTTCAGCAAGTTCAATGGAAATTCAAGCCGTTTATGGGAGGAAATCCATGAAAGCTCCATGCAGATAGTGTCCTTGCCACAGGGCCGGATTTACTCTCTCTGCTGCCCCAAGGCCAGGTTCCTCAATGCGCCCCCCCTACCCGCCAGCCCCCCCCCCCATGGAGAATGGCAGACCTGCAGGCTGCATACAAGCGATCTCGGGGAAATCACCGAGATCACTTGTACAAGACAAGTGGCGGCTTCCCCGCTGTACATTTAGCTCTGCTTGCCCAAAGCAGGGGCTAAATGAAGAAAACAACTACCCGCCCGGTGCCCGGAACTGTATGTCCCCGGTGTCAGGAGATAGGCATTCCACACCCCTGCTGCCCTGAGG